TACAACAGTTTTCCAATTAATCTTTGATACATTGTCTGATCTACTAGAGGATCTTCAGGAGCTCCATGACTTTTCTCATGTTCATCATATAGTTTTGAGGTTAGTTTAACATTAACATCAATAGGAGTACCTGCAGGCTTAGCTGCTGACATCCCAACCTCAGCTATAAGTTCCAAAGCATACTTTCTTTGATGCATCAATATCCCTTCTGCTGACCTAGTGAACTCAATGCCCAGAAAATATTTCAATTCACCTAAGTCCTTCATTTTAAAAGCCTGCTGCAATTCCAGTTTTGTCTTCTCTATTAACTTCAAGCTGCTGCCAGTAATCATCATATCATCCACATATACTAACACCACAACAATGCCTGCTTCTGATTTATTGACAAATAAGGAATGATCATATTGACTTTGTTTGAAGTTAAGAGTAGTAAGAGCTTCAGTCAGCTTATGGTTCCACTGCCTTGGAGCCTGTTTGAGCCCATATAATGACTTTGTTAGTCTGCATACTTTCTCCCCTTGACTAACAAAGCCTTGAGGGAGCTTCATATAAATCTCATCATCAAGATCACCCTGCAAGAAGGCATTGAACACATCCATTTGATGAATGTGCCAATGTCTTGAAGCAGCTAAAGACACCACTGTCCTCACAGTCACCATCTTCACAACAGGGGAAAAAGTTTCTTGATAGTCGATACCTTCCAGTTGACTATATCCCTTAGCAACTAGCCTTGCTTTAAACCTTTCTATCTCTCCTGTGGACTTGTATTTAATCTTGTAAACCCACCGACAACCAATAGGTTTCTTTCCTGGTGGTAGCTCAGTTATCTCCCAAGTCTTATTATCTTCAAGGGCTTGAATCTCAGTTTGCATAGCATCTACCCACCTAGTGTCTGTCACAGCCTCTGAATAGGTGGTAGGTTCTCTAACTGAGGATGTAGCAGCAATGTATGATTGATAAGTAGGAGAAAGATGACCATAACTGATATAATTGCACACAGGATACTGCACTTTGGAATGCAATTTGGAGGAAACAAAATCTTTGAGCCATGTAGGAGTATTTTTAGTTCTGGTAGATCTTCTGGGATCAGCTGGTATAACAGCATCTGTGACTGCTGGAACTGGTTCCCCAACTGAATCAGAAACATCTGAAGAAACAATCTCAACATCTGGTAGCACAGATGAGCCTTCAAGACAAGATAGTTCATCATTGATAGAACTAGGTGTTTGGAAAAATTGAGTAGTGGAGGTATCAAATAGAGCAGCTGAATCTGACAGTGGATTTGGAAACAAGGAATGTTTTTCAGACATCTTGATCTGTGAGAAAGGGAATATATCTTCTCTAAATATAACATCTCTGCTAACAAAGAATGATTTAGCAGTAAGATCAAATAAAACATAACCTTTTTGTGTCTCTGAATACCCCATATGAACTGCAGACTTAGATCTGGGCATCATTTTGTCATGTTCAACTAGATTTTTGGAAAGACACAGACATCCAATAGTTCTCAAGTGTGTCAATCTAGGTTTACTTCCATATAATCTTTCATAGGGACTTTGATAATTCAGAACACTACTAGGAACTCTATTAATGAGATATGCTGCAGCTAGAACACAATGCCCCCAATACTTCAATGGAATTTTACCCTGAAACCTCAATGCCCTTGTCACTTCTAGTAAGTGTCTATGTTTCCTCTCAGCTACCCCATTTTGCTGAGGGGTATAAGAACAAGACCTTTGATGAATAATACCCAACTCTTGAAACATTGTAGTACAAACTGAGTTTACAAACTCAGTACCATTGTCAGATCTGATCACCTTGACTTGTGTAGCAAATTGATTCTTAACATACTGCAAAAAAATCTTTAATGCTACACATACATCAAACTTGTGTTTAAGTAAGAAGAGCCAAGTCATTCTGGAAAAATCATCAACAATGGTAAGAAAGTACTTATTGCCATCAAATGTAGCTGTATTGTATGGACCCCAAAGATCAACATGAATCAAATCAAAGCTAGTACAACTTTTGATACTACTAGATGGAAAAGGAAGTCGAGTCTGTTTTGCATAGGGACATACTAAACATTTGGAAACTTTACACATACTATTGATATTCAAATCAAACATCTTAGCTAGTACTACAGATGACACATGTCCAAGCCTTTGATGCCACAATTCCATATCAGATGGGACTTGTGCTACTGTCAATGCAGTATTCTTTTCATCACCTCCAGAACTTTGTGTATACAGACACCCTGCTTCTTTACCAACCACTCTCACCTTCCCATTGTAAAGCTCCTGAAGAACACAGAAGTTAGGGAAGAATGTAACTGAACAATCAAGTTCCTTTGTTAACTTACTCACAGACATCAAGTTATACTTGAATTCAGGTAAGTAAAATACATTTGAGATAACACTCCTGTCTGTTAAGGCACAAGAACCAACATGAGTAACCTGAGTAGTACCCCCATTAGGCAGATGTACAATTTTAGGAATCTGTAATTTTGACACAGAACCTTTTATAAACATGTCCATCTGAGAAACCATATGGTTTGTTGCACCAGAGTCTACAATCCATACTGCATTAGTCTCAGAAACAAACAAGGATTTACCTGCAGTGTGAGCAGCAAAAGTAGTATTGCTCTCAGATGTTGCAGGGCCTTGGTTTTGTGTGAGACCTCTAAGAATATGGTCATATTGTTCCTTTGTGAATGTACAACCCTTCAGTAATCGTTTCACATCTATTTCTGCTTGACTTGCTGCTTTAGAAATGCTATTACCATCCACTCTTCCATGCTCACTTTGTGCAGTAGCAGACTTCAGATCCCATCCTGCTTCATGCACATTAGTATTCAAGCCATAAGAAAAATGAGCCTGACCTGAACCAGGATTGTTGTAGCCTGAAGGAACACCACCTTGAACCTTCCTTTTGGACTTGAAATCAGGAGGATACCCCACAATTTTGTAGCAAAATTCTTTACTATGACCCTTACATTTACAGAAATCACAAATGAGAAGAGAGTTCCTTTTAAATCTCTGATTCACTCCTGAAGTAGAACCAGCAGCAGATGATTTAGAGTACATGGCCATAGGATCCATACTCTCAGAACTCAGCCCCATATTGCTAATGTGTGAAATCACTGCCTTTTGACTCTCATCCCCTACTACCATAGCATAAGCATGATTGACAGTTGGTAAGGGATTCATCATTAAAATTTGACTTCTAGCCTGATGATATGACTCATTAAGCCCCATTAAAAACTGATACAATTTCTGTCTGCTCAAGTGGTTTACAAACTCCTTCGACTTAGCACAATTACATCCAGGAGAAGGAACTACAGCCTCAAACTCATCCCACAAGGTCTTGAGTCTGGTGTAATACACAGAAACAGAAGCAGTCCCCTGTTGTAGTGATACAATGTCTTTATGAAGACTATAGGTTCTCGAACCATCTACCCTGTCAAATCTTTCTTTTAAATCACTCCAAACATGAGAAGCATTTGTAGCAAAAGCAATTCCACTCAGTAAACTCTTCGACACTGAGTTCATTAACCAGGACAGTACTACAGCATTCACTCTCTCCCATTGTCCCCACAATTCTTCACTAAACATCTCTTTACTACAGGTTCCATCAATTAACCCCAGTTTATTGCGTCCTAACAATGCTAGTGTAATCGATCTATTCCATAGAGAGTAGTTCTCAATTCCAAGTAATTGAAACGAAATAAGATTTACTCCACTTAAATCTGTAGGACTAAGAAAAAGAGGATGATTGTAGTCAATACCTTGGCCAATTACAGAATTAGGTATCGACATTGATACACCTGTGTTTTCTCCATTGTTGCCTGGAATTGAGTCTGCAGATGTTCTTCCATTCGTCATCCTGATTCACTGCTGATCAACAATTGTTTGCAGAAGCTAAGTACTCACCAATTATCTACAAATTTTACCCAAAACTTTGTGTAAAACCTATAGATCGACTGATGAACCGATGGATCTGTGAATCTGTAACTTGATTCTATAATCCTCGATCGAAATTGCCTATCACAGTAATCACTGTGTGTGGCTCTGATACCATGAAGTAAAACGAACTGAAACAGAGTTAACACAAAATCTCCATTAACAAGGAGCTAAGATAGAAGAAGAGAAACTCTCATTGTTTGAGTTCAAAGACTAACTTTTACAATGCTGAAAAGTACTATTTATAGAATCTAACTTCTAATCAAACTAACTAACTAACTTGAAGAATTAGTTGTAACAAACAATATAAAAGGTCTATACTACCCTTGAGCATCTTGGTGAAATAACTAACTCCTTAACTACCTTACACTCATATCTCATCATAGACAAATACATTTCAAATCTAATATAAAAGTTGTGTGAGATGTTCTATAAGAAAACACATTTTAAAGAAATATTGTATTCTTTTATATCATAAAGTAACATGAATGCATATTTAATATAAAGTAACTATTATAAATAGTATATCAAAACTACTTTAATTTATATTTCAACTCTCCAAATATTAAATCCATTTTGAATGCAAGTGTAAGGTGATTAAAATATAAGATTAATATTTATTATCCTAAGAAACTTATATTTTTGATATACTTTAATATCTATTTTTATAATCTAAACATATCAGATGAAATTGCATAGAATATTTTGATATCAACCAATAGGAATAGTATGTAGGTGCAGGTTTTGGTGATGGTGAAAGTGGAGATTTGTAGTAATAAGGAGGTAGTGGAGACTTAGTTGATGAAAGTGGAGATTTATAATAGTAAGATGGTGGAAGCGATGGTGACGGGGTAGTGGTAATTTATAATAGAATATCGGTGCAGATTTTGGTAATGGTAGGGGTGGAGACTTAGTTCGTGATGGCAAAGATTTGTAATAGTTTAGTAGGGGATGATGAAGACTTTTAAATGTATGTCGGGGTTGCAGGAGGTGATGACTTGTACACATACTTCAGTAAAGGAAGTGGAGGAGATTTACAATAGTGAAATTGATCTTTCTTATTGATTTGTGCAGTAAGTACACAAAGGTATTGCAAGAACACCATACAATAATAATTAATACGAATGAATAAAAAAAGACAATATCCTCAATACAAACAATAAGTTACGAAGAAACAAACTCTAAGAAGCATCAAAGCTTATATGCGTTCATGTGAACGCACTAAGAAAACAATGTGCGAGAAGACCAAAAGAGAAGTAGAATCAAATATGTCCATGTCATGAAGAATCAACCCTTCAATTAAAAGATTGAACATCTTATTCCATAAATTAATTGCTTTGTACCATTGACGTTTGAATCTATTCCTCAAGAAGCCATCATTTATTTTGTGTTTCAAACTAAAATCTGAAAAGAAACAACCAAATAGAAGATTAGAGACTTAATTCAAACAAAATAAGCAAAAAAGGTTGAATATCATATGAAAAATTTACAAATTTAAACAACTACTCACTTGATTGATTGTGGAGAATGACTGCACTCTTAAAACCTCTTAGTAGTGGACTGGTGGTGGTGGTGAAGCGTAAATGTACGCCGGTGAAGGAGGTGATTTCACTGGTAATAAGGAGGAGGAGGAGACTTTACGGGTGGAGGTGGAGAGTGATAGTAGTAAGGAGGTGGTGGAGAGGGTGACGGTGGAGGAGGCGACTTGTAGTAGTAAGGTGGGGGTGGTGAAGGTGATGGTGGAGGAGGAGACTTGTAGTAGTAGGGTGGTGGGGGTGATGGCGATGGTGGTGGTGGAGACTTGTAATAGTATGGTGGAGGAGGAGATGGTGATGGTGGTGGTGGTGATTTATAATAGTATACAGGTGCAGGTTTTGGTGATGGTGGAGGAGGAGACTTGTAGATGTAGGGTGGTGGAGGAGATGGCGATGGTGGTGATGGTGATTTGTAGTAGTAGGGTGGTGGAGGAGATGGCGATGGTGGTGGTGGTGACTTGTAGTAGTATGGTGGAAGGGGAGAAGGCGATGGAGGTGGAGGAGACTTGTAGTAGTATGGAGGTGGGGGAGATGGTGATGGTGGTGGAGGAGACTTGTAGTAGTAAGGTGGGGGTGGTGATGGAGATGGTGGAGGAGGGGACTTGTAGTAGTAAGGTGGTGGGGGTGATGGCGATGGTGGTGGTGGAGACTTGTAATAGTATGGTGGAGGAGGAGATGGTGATGGTGGTGGTGGTGATTTATAATAGTATACAGGTGCAGGTTTTGGTGATGGTGGTGGAGGAGACTTGTAGTAGTAAGGAGGTGGGGGAGAAGGTGATGGTGGTGGTGGTGACTTATAATAGTACACGGGTGCAGGTTTTGGTGATGGTGGTGGTGGTGATTTGTAATAGTAAATAGGTGCAGGTTTTGGCGATGGTGGAGGTGGAGATTTATAATAGTATACCGGTGCAGGTTTTGGTGATGGTGGAGGTGGAGATTTGTAATAGTAATGTGGTGGAGACTTAGTTGGTGGTGGTGGAGGTTTGTAATAGTAAGTAGGTGGTGGTGGAGACTTATAAACGTATGTCGGGGTTGGAGGAGGTGGTGACTTGTACACATATTTTGGTGATGGAGGAGGTGGTGACTTATAAACATAAGTCGGTGATGGAGGTGGAGGAGATTTATAATAGTATGGAGCAGGTGTAGGCTTGGGTTTTAGGCATTCTGCATAAGGTGTCTTTGAGCCATAAGCAAATGGTTTTGCATAAAGTACAACTTCATATTTATTCTTTGACTTCACTTTGAGGTTAGCACCCTTAATTCCCCAATGAAGATTTGTAGGAATGCTACACTTTGAATCCTTAGGAGCATTGTGGAGTTTAGCCTTGCAAGCCTTCGCTCCATATTTGCTATATTCAAATCCTTCAATAGTGATGCTAAATTTGCCATTGATCTTAGTGGTACCATAACTCACAATTTCTTTGTCACCGGCCTTGCAAGTCACTTCAACAACAGCACCTAATCCATTTTAAAAGAAACATTAATTATCACAAAAACAATTTATTTATGAATTTTGATCAGAGCATAATGAACAAAGCAACAAAAAATAAAATATGTATAGTTAAACAAATTTTTGATGATAAATTAAAAGAAAATAAAAAATATGAGTGTAGTATAAACTATAAAGACTATGGTACCTTTCAGGTGTTTCTTGTCGTGAGACATCTCTGGGTGCTTCCAACTATGGCATCTAAAACAATAGACTTTTCCGACAACTTTGACTACAAATTGATGATGTGGAGGATAGTAATGAGTTGGTGGTGGTGGTGAAGTATAGTAGTATGGTGGGGGAGAAGACTTCTTTGGTGGTGGTGGTGGAGATTTGTAGTAGTATGGAGTTGGAGGTGACTTAACTGGTGGTGGTGGGGAACTGTAGTGATATGGTGGAGGAGGTGATTTCTTTGGTGGTGGTGGAGAGGAGTAGTAGTATGGTGGAGGGGGAAACTTCACTGGTGGTGGAGGAGAACTGTAATAGTACGGGGGAGGAGGAGATTTAGCCGGTGGTGGTGGGGACTTGTAATAGTATGGTGGGGGTGGTGATGGGGAAGGTGGAGGAGGAGACTTGTAATAGTATGGTGGTGGTGGTGATGGAGATGGAGGAGGTGGTGACTTGTAGTAATAAGGTGGTGGAGGAGAAGGTGAAGGAGGTGGTGGAGATTTGTAATAGTATGGTGGAGGAGGTGAAGGAGAAGGTGGCGGTGGAGACTTATAATAATATGGTGGAGGTGGTGCTGGTGAAGGCGGTGGTGGAGATTTGTAATAGTATGGTGGTGGAGGTGACGGTGAAGGTGGAGGTGGAGACTTGTAGTAATATGGAGGTGGTGGTGAAGGTGATGGTGGTGGAGGAGATTTGTAGTAATACGGTGGAGGTGGAGACGGTGATGGAGGTGGTGGGGACTTATACACATATGGTGGTGGTGGAGATGGTGATGGAGGGGGTGGAGACGTATACACATATGGAGGAGGTGGTGATGGAAAAGGAGGGGGAGGTGACTTATAAACATATGGAGGCGGGGGAGAAGGCGAGGGCGGAGGTGGAGATTTGTACACATAAGGTGGTGGTGGAGAAGGAGAAGGAGGTGGTGGTGATTTGTACTCGTACACCGGAGGTGGTGGAGAAGAGTATACATAAGGGTCTGCCGACACTACATTAGCTACAGCCAATATGACCAATACCACTAAGATTTGTGGCAAATATTGACGACCCTTGGCAGGGCCGCCACCATTAAGCCTCATTTTGCTGGAAAATTACACCACCTAGCCTCCCAAGCTAGTTAGAGGAAGAAGAAAGGAGATAACCTTTAGTTTTCAGTTGAGAAGTGATGCCTTTTTGGAATTCATTGGCCAATATATTTATAGTTACACACCTTGAAAAGTAAAGAGCTATCTAAAGGACCAATTCCATTGCTCTGATTGATAATCAAAGTGTAAAATAATTATTAATAGCTCTTAACAGCTGGATCTACAAGTTTTCATTTTATTTATTGAAGTTCATCTCTGTATCACTTTGAATATTTCCCCATTATCTTTTAACAAGTAGTTTGTTACCTGCTATGAGAACACACAAAAACACATGCCATGAACTGGCTTAAGGGAAAGAAAATGCTATTTTTTAATATTTCCACTCTCTTGCTATTATGTTTTCAATAGCCAGGGTGTGGGCTGATAAGCATATCTCTGTATCAACCTACAAAACATAAACAACTAAACAAACTAGTGCTCATATTCTGTGATATTGAATTTTTTAGTGTTCAATAATTACAACTTTGACTTGTTTAGCCAAATTAATTAATCTATCTTCTCCATCTTTACTTGCCTGTTGATCTGTAGTGGGTAAGGATATATATATATATATATATATATATATTCTATATCGTGGACTCGCGCTAGCTGGTAAAAAACAAGAGTAATGTAGTTGGAGTTTATTACTGGTAAATGCTAAGGTGCGTTACTATGGGATTGTTTGAAACTCATACCAATTATTTACCAAATGCCCTATGCGACATGCTCAACATATTCCAAACCTAAGTGTGATACTTTTGTACTTCTCTGAATCTTCCTATTAGGATCCTTGGTTCCGCCACTGATCACATGCATGGTTAAAATGTTCAACTTTTTGAACACTAGTTGGCCGGTGCAAGAACCTTGATAACTTAAAAGCACAAATAGCCTTTTTTATGATGATGGATAAATGGATATGAAGTATATGTATGTTGATGGTTGATGGCTTCAAATTATTTGTTGCCTACTAGAAATGGTGGTCTAGAAACTTTGAACACCAACATTTATTTTGACTTCAAATTTGTGAACTCTTCATAACAAGTTTGATATTAGTGAACTTGAAAGATTGAGTAAACATGCTACATCGATTAACTACATTAATACAGTAAAAAGTTGTTATTTGTGATCGTCATAGAATATAAATCCTTTTTGTATTACGCATTTGCATAATCATAAGTGTTGAAATGGAACCATGAGGTCTCAGAGTTAAATTTCAATGTAGGTGGAAAGATTGGTGATTTTTGGCTTTTGTCCAAGCTTTAGTAGATAGAGTTATCCGATATCAGTATTGGTGAGAGCTAGAAAGTATCTCATGTTATTAGTCGAGGTACGTGCAAACTGGCCTAACTTAAGTTCATTAATTTATTCAGTTGACTTTGCATTTGTGCTGTTACGTTTCTTTGTTGTAATGTAAAGTACTTTGGAAGGATTTCTTTTCTTGTTCTTCGTTTCAATTTAGTTACTTTTTCCACGTCTTTTATCTTCTTTTATTTCGTTAAACATTTTTTCTCTTTGATTTGAAGTGGCACATACTAAAATTGAATTTTAACTTCTCTACTCTTTAACTACAAGGTTAGGTAATAGATAACTACATGTTGCGTGTTGTATCAAATTAAGTTACCTGCTCCACCCTGTGCAGGTTTTGTCAATTCTTTTGGGTTTCAGTGTTGTGATGTACCCTTTGGGGGAAGTATATCACGAGTTTGCTGGCATCCTGACTTGCGTAGATCAAGGGTAAACACTCATCGTTTTTGACATGGACTACTAGTGTATTCAATCCTGTTATGGATCTCTTGCCACATTCAAAAAAATAAAAAGGAAAATAGTTTTTCTTCCCTTTTATATTTTCATTTTAAAATTTTTTGGTAAGAAGTACCCCAGTGCATATTGTGCAAGCACAGAGGCGTGTTTTACTTATACATATCTTGAACTACTTCTACATTAAAACTATAGTAAAGATCTTAAACTAATTGTAGATATTTTCATTTTCAATTTATTTATATATATTTGGAGAAGACTAATTTAATTTGTTTGTAACATGTTTACAGAGGTAAAAGATAGAGGAAAAGAAGAAGAAAGTGAATATAATAAAATTGATCTTCTTATTGATTTGTGCACAAAGTACGTGAAGGTGTTACAAGAACAACATACAATAATAATTAATAAGAATAAATAAAAAGAGGACAATATCCTCAATACAAATAATAAGTTACAAAGAAACAAGCTCTAAGAAGCATCTAAGTCTAGATACGTTCATGTGAACGCACTAAGAAAACAATGTGCAAGAAGACCAAAAGAGAAGTAGAATCAAATATGTCCATGTCATGAAGAATCAATCCTTCAATTAAAAGATTGAACATCTTATTCCATAAATTAATTGCTTTGTACCATTGACGTTTGAATCTATTCCTCAAGAAGCCATCATTTATTTTGTGTTTCAAACTAAAATCTGAAAAGAAACAACCAAATAGCAGATTAGAGACTTAATTCAAACAAAAGAAGCAAAAAAGGTTGAATATCATATGAAAAATTTACAAATTTAAACAACTACTCACTTGATTGATTGTGGAGAATGACTGCACTCTTAAAACCTCTTAGTAGTGGACTGGTGGTGGTGGTGAAGCGTAAATGTACGCCGGTGGAGGAGGTGATTTCACTGGTGGAGGAGGTGAGCTGTAGTAATAAGGAGGAGGAGGAGACTTTACGGGTGGAGGTGGAGAGTGATAGTAGTAAGGAGGTGGTGGAGAAGGTGACGGTGGAGGAGGCGACTTGTAGTAGTAAGGTGGGGGTGGTGAAGGTGATGGTGGAGGAGGAGACTTGTAGTAGTAGGGTGGTGGAGGAGATGGGGATGGTGGTGGTGGTGACTTGTAGTAGTAGGGAGGCGGTGGAGAAGGTGACGGTGGAGGAGGTGACTTGTAGTAGTAGGGTGGAGGTGGTGAAGGTGATGGTGGAGGAGGAGACTTGTAGATGTAGGGTGGTGGAGGAGATGGCGATGGTGGTGGTGGTGATTTGTAGTAGTAGGGTGGTGGAGGAGATGGCGATGGTGGTGGTGGTGACTTATAGTAGTATGGTGGAGGGGGAGAAGGCGATGGAGGTGGAGGAGACTTGTAGTAGTATGGAGGTGGGGGAGATGGTGATGGTGGTGGAGGAGACTTGTAGTAATAAGGTGGTGGGGGTGATGGCGATGGTGGTGGTGGAGACTTGTAATAGTATGGTGGAGGAGGAGATGGTGACGATGGTGGTGGTGATTTATAATAGTATACAGGTGCGGGTTTTGGTGATGGTGGTGGAGGAGACTTGTAGTAGTAAGGAGGTGGGGGAGAAGGTGATGGTGGTGGTGGTGACTTATAATAGTACACAGGTGTAGGTTTTGGTGATGGTGGTGGTGGTGATTTGTAATAGTATACAGGTGCAGGTTTTGGCGATGGTGGAGGTGGAGATTTATAATAGTATACCGGTGCAGGTTTTTGGTGATGGTGGAGGTGGAGATTTGTAATAGTAATGTGGTGGAGACTTAGTTGGTGGTGGTGGAGATTTGTAATAGTAAGCAGGTGGTGGTGGAGACTTATAAACGTATGTCGGGGTTGGGGGAGGTGGTGACTTGTAAACGTATGTCGGAGTTGGAGGAGGTGGTGACTTGTAAACATATGTTGGTGATGGAGGAGGTGGTGACTTATAAATGTAAGTTGGTGATGGTGGTGGAGGTGATTTATAATAATACGGAGCAGGTGTAGGCTTGGGTTTTAGGCATTCTGCATAAGGTGTCTTAGAACCATAAGCAAATGGTTTTGCATAGAGAACAACTTCATATTTATTCTTTGACTTCACTTTGAGGTTAGCACCCTTTATTCCCCAATGAAGATTTGTAGGAATGCTACACTTTGAATCCTTAGGAGCATTGTGGAGTTTAGCCTTGCAAGCCTTTGCTCCATATTTGCTATATTCAAATCCTTCAACAGTGATGCTAAATTTGCCATTGATCTTAGTGGTGCCATAACTCACAATTTCTTTGTCACCGGCCTTGCAAGTCACTTCAACAACAGCACCTAATCCATGTAAAAAAACATTAATTAACACAAACAATTTATATATGAATTCTGATCAGAGCATAATGAACAAAGCAACAAAAAATAAAATATGTATAGTTAAACAGTTTTTTGATGATAAATTAAAAGAAAATAAAAAAATATGTGTGTAGTATAAACTATAAAGTCTATGGTACCTTTCAGGTGTTTCTTGTCGTGAGACATCTCTGGGTGCTTCCAATTATGGCATCTAAAACAATAGACTTTTCCGACAACTTTGACTACAAATTGATGATGTGGAGGATAGTAATGAGTTGGTGGTGGTGGTGAAGTATAGTAGTATGGTGGGGGAGAAGACTTCTTTGGTGGTGGTGGTGGTGACTTGTAGTTGTATGGAGTTGGAGGTGACTTAACTGGTGGTGGTGGGGAACTGTAGTGATATGGTGGAGGAGGTGATTTCTTTGGTGGTGGTGGCGAGGAGTAGTAGTATGGAGGAGGTGGTGACTTAACAGGTGGTGGTGGAGAAGTGTAGTGATATGGTGGAGGAGGTGATTTCTTTGGTGGTGGTGGTGAGGAGTAGTAGTATGGCGGAGGGGGAGACTTCACTGGTGGTGGAGGAGAACTGTAATAGTACGGGGGAGGAGGTGATTTGACCGGTGGTGGTGGGGACTTGTAATAGTACGGTGGGGGTGGTGATGGGGAAGGTGGAGGAGGAGACTTGTAATAGTATGGTGGTGGTGGTGAAGGTGATGGAGGAGGTGGCGACTTGTAGTAATAAGGTGGTGGAGGAGAAGGTGAAGGTGGTGGTGGAGATTTGTAATAGTATGGTGGAGGAGGTGAAGGGGAAGGTGGCGGTGGAGACTTATAATAATATGGTGGAGGTGGTGATGGTGAAGGTGGAGGTGGAGACTTGTAGTAATATGGAGGTGGTGGTGAAGGTGATGGTGGAGGTGGAGACTTGTAGTAATATGGAGGTGGTGGTGAAGGTGATGGTGGAGGAGGAGATTTGTAGTAATATGGTGGAGGTGGTGATGGTGATGGAGGTGGTGGAGACTTATACACATAGGGTGGTGGTGGAGACGGTGAGGGAGGTGGTGGGGACTTATACACATATGGTGGTGGTGGAGATGGTGAAGGAGGGGGTGGAGACGTATACACATATGGAGGAGGTGGTGATGGTGAAGGAGGAGGAGGTGACTTATAAACATATGGAGGCGGGGTAGAAGGCGAGGGAGGAGGTGGAGATTTGTACTCATGCACTGGAGGTGGTGGAGAAGAGTATACATAAGGGTCTGCCGACACTACATTAGCAACAGCCAATATGGCCAATGCCACTAAGATTTGTGGTAAATATTGACGACCCTTGGCAGGGCCGCCATTGTTTAGTCTCATTTCGCTGGAAAATTACACCACCTAGCCTCCCAAATGTGGTTAGCTAGTTAGGAGAAGAAGAAAGAAGACAACTTTTAGTTTTTCAGTTGAGAAGTGATGCCTTTTGTGGACTCATTGGCCTATGTATTTATAATAAAATTTCTTGATAAAATATTTGTTAGTAAAGAGCAGTCTAAAAGGACTAATTCAATTGCTCTGATTGATAATCAAAGTGTAAAATATTATTAATATCTCTTAACAGCTGGATCTACAAGTTCTCATTTTATTAATTATATTCTCTCTCTGTATCAGTTTGAATATTTCCCCATTATCTTTTAACAAGTAGTTTGTTACCTGCTATGAGAACACACAAAAACACATGCCATGAACTGGCTTAAGGGAAAGAAAGTGCTATTTTTAATATTTCCACTCTCTTGCTATTATGTTTTCAATAGCCAGGGTGTGGGCTGATAAGCATATTTCTGTATCAACCTACAAAACTTAAAAGATTCATAATTTCAAAATACAAACAAACTAGTGCTCATATTCAATAATTACAACAACTTTGACTTGTTTAGCCAAATTAATTAATCTATCTTCCCCTGCTTTACTTGCCTGTTGATCTGTAGTGGGTAAGGATATATATATATTCTATGTCGTGGACTCGCGCTAGCTGGTAAAAAACAAGACTAATGTTGTTGGAGTTTATTACTGGTAAATGCTAAGGTGCGTTACTATGGGATTGTCTGAAACTCGTACCAATTATTTACCAAATGCCCTATGCGACATGCCCAACATATTCCAAACCTAAGTGTGATACTTTTGTACTTCTCTGAATCCCCCTATTAGGATCCTTGGTTCCGCCACTGATCACATGCATAGTTAAAATGTTCAACATATTAGCGAATAGATGAATTATTTTCTTTTTGGAACACTAGTTGGCCGGTGCAAGAACCTTGATAGCACAAATAGCCCTTTTTATGATGATGGATAAATTATATGTATGTTCATTGTTGATGGCTTAAAATTATTTGTTGCCTACTAGATATGGTGGTCTAGAAACTTTGAACACCAACATTTTCTTTGACATCAAATTGTTTCGACAAGTCTGAGTGTATTTTATGTATATACATTGTTAATACACATAACTTAAGCCTGAAAAAAAATAAAGAAGACCGAAAACACGGATTTGTACTTTTTGAATTAGTAGTAGTGCATGCCAAGTCTTAGCAAACGATTTCTTTTATAATCTTTTTGTATTACTCATTTGCATAATCACAAGTGTTGGAATGAGAATCATGAGATTTCAGGGTTAAATTTCAACGTAGGTAGAAATATTGGTGATTTTTGGCTTTTGTCCAAGCTTTGGTAGATAAGAGTTATCCGATATCAGTATTGGTGGGAGGTAACAAGTATCTCATGTAATTAGTCAAGGTACGTGCAAACTGGCCTGACTTAAGTTCAATAAAAGGATTTCTTTTCTTGTTCTTCGTTTCAATTTTAGTTACTTCTTCCATGTCTTTTATCTTCTTTATTTCGTTAATCAGTTATTAATTCTGATCTACTCAAGACAAAATATTGGAGGTGGATTGTTTAACTTTTCAGACATACAATAATATTTTACACATTATAAAAATATAAGAAGTATTGAAAAATTTGACCTTTGTAACATCAATGTAAAAGATTTCAGTTAAACATTTTTTCTCTTTAATTTGAGAAGGCGAATACTAAAATTGAATTTTAACTTCTCTACTCTGTAACTACCAGGTTATCTAATAGATAACTACATGTTGTGTGTTGTATCAAATTAAGCTACCTGCTCCACCTTGTGCAGGTCTTGTCAATTCCTTTGCGTTTCAGTCTTGTGATGTACTCTTTAGGGGAGTATATCACGAGTTAGCTGGCCTCCTGACTTGCATAGATCAAGGGTAAACAATCATCGTTTTTGACATGGACTACTAGTGTATTCAATCCTGTTATAGATCTCTAGCCACATTCAAAAAAAAGAAAAGAAAAATAGTTCTTCTTCCCTTTTGTATTTTCATTTTAAATTTTTTTGGTAAGAAGTACACCAGTGCATATTGTGAAAGCACAGAGGTGTGTTTTACTTATACATATCTTGAACTACTTCTACATTAAAACTAGGGAAAATGCATAAGTACCCCCAGCCTATGCCCAAAATCCCTAAGACACACCTAACCTTTACTAAGGTCCTATTACCCCGAACTTATTTTTTAATTAATTTTCTACCCCTTTACGGCCTACGTGGCACTATCCTTGAAAAAATTGTCAACACGCGCTGGGCCCACAAGATAGTGCCACATAGGCCGAAAAGAGATAAAAAATTATATATAAAATAAGTTGGGGGGTAATATGACCTTATTAAAAGTTAGGTGTGTCTCAGAGATTTTGGGCATAGGCTGGGGTTAGTTATGCATTTTCCCTTAAAAAGTATAGTAAAGATCTTAAACTAATTGTAGATATTTTCATTTTCAATTTATTTATATATATATTTGGAGAAGACTAATTTAATTTGTTTGCAACATGTTTACAGAGGTAAAAGATAGAGGAAAAGAAGAAGAAAGTGAATATAATAAAATTGATCTTCTTATTGATTTGTGCACAAAGTACATGAAGGTGTTACAAGAACAACATACAATAATAATTGATAAGAATGAATAAAAAGAGGACAATATCCTCAATACAAATAATAAGTTACAAAGAAACAAGATCTAAGAAGCATCTAAGCCTAGATACGTTCATGTGAACGCACTAAGAAAACAATGTGCAAGAAGACCAAAAGAGAAGTAGAATCAAATATGTCCATGTCATGAAGAATCAACCCTTCAATTAAAAGATTGAACATCTTATTCCATAAATTAATTGCTTTGTACCATTGACGTTTGAATCTATTCCTCAAGAAGCCATCATTTATTTTGTGTTTCAAACTAAAATCTGAAAAGAAACAACCAAATAGAAGATTAGAGACTTATTTCAAACAAAAGAAGCAAAAAAGGTTGAATATCATATGAAAAATTTACAAATTTAAACAACTACTCACTTGATTGATTGTGGAGAATGACTGCACTCTTAAAACCTCTTAGTAGTGGACTGGTGGTGGTGGTGAAGCGTAAATGTACGCCGGTGGAGGAGGTGATTTCACTGGTGGAGGAGGTGAGCTGTAGTAATAAGGAGGAGGAGGAGACTTTACGGGTGGAGGTGGAGAGTGATAGTAGTAAGGAGGTGGTGGAGAAGGTGACGGTGGAGGAGGCGACTTGTAGTAGTAAGGTGGGGGTGGTGAAGGTGATGGTGGAGGAGGAGACTTGTAGTAGTAGGGTGGTGGAGGAGATGGGGATGGTGGTGGCGGTGACTTGTAGTAGTAGGGAGGCGGTGGAGAAGGTGACGGTGAAGGAGGTGACTTGTAGTAGTAGGGTGGAGGTGGTGAAGGTGATGGTGGAGGAGGAGACTTGTAGATGTAGGGTGGTGGAGGAGATGGCGATGGTGGTGGTGGTGATTTGTAGTAGTAGGGTGGTGGAGGAGATGGCGATGGTGGTGGTGGTGACTTGTAGTAGTATGGTGGAGGGGGAGAAGGCGATGGGGGTGGAGGAGACTTGTAGTAGTATGGAGGTGGGGGAGATGGTGATGGTGGTGGAGGAGACTTGTAGTAGTAAGGTGGTGGGGGTGATGGCGATGGTGGTGGTGGAGACTTGTAATAGTATGGTGGAGGAGGAGATGGTGATGGTGGTGGTGGTGATTTATAATAGTATACAGGTGCGGGTTTTGGTGATGGTGGTGGAGGAGACTTGTAGTAGTAAGGAGGTGGGGGAGAAGGTGATGGTGGTGGTGGTGACTTATAATAGTACACGGGTGCAGGTTTTGGTGATGGTGGTGGTGGTGATTTGTAATAGTATACAGGTGCAGGTTTTGGTGATGGTGGAGGTGGAGATTTATAATAGTATACCGGTGCAGGTTTTGGTGATGGTGGAGGTGGAGATTTGTAATAGTAATGTGGGGGAGACTTAGTTGGTGGTGGTGGAGATTTGTAATAGTAAGCAGGTGGTGGTGGAGACTTATAAACGTATGTCGGGGTTGGGGGAGGTGGTGACTTGTACACATATTTTGGTGATGGAGGTGGTGGTGACTTGTAAACATAAGTCGGTGTTGGAGGTGGAGGAGATTTATAATAGTATGGAGCAGGTGTAGGCTTGGGTTTTAGGCATTCTGCATAAGGTGTCTTTGAGCCATAACCAAATGGTTTTGCATAGAGTACAACTTCATATTTATTCTTTGACTTCACTTTGAGGTTAGCACCCTTAATTCCCCAATGAAGATTTGTAGGAATGCTACACTTTGAATCCTTAGGAGCATTGTGGAGTTTAGCCTTGCAAGCCTTTGCTCCATACTTGCTATATTCAAATCCTTCAACAGTGATGCTAAATTTGCCATTGATCTTAGTGGTACCATAACTCACAATTTCTTTGTCACCGACCTTGCAAGTCACTTCAACAATAGCACCTAATCCATTATAAAAGAAACATTAATTAACACAAAAACAATTTATATATGAATTTTGATCAGAGCATAATGAGCAAAGCAACAAAAAATAAAATATGTATAGTTAAACAAATTTTGATGATAAATTAAAAGAAAATAAAAAATATGTGTGTAGTATAAACTATAAAGACTATGGTACCTTTCAGGTGTTTCTTGTCGTGAGACATCTCTGGGTGCTTCCAATTATGGCATCTAAAACAATAGACTTTTCCGACAACTTTGACTACAAATTGATGATGTGGAGGATAGTAATGAGTTGGTGGTGGTGGTGAAGTATAGTAGTATGGTGGGGGAGAAGACTTCTTTGGTGGTGGTGGTGGAGACTTGTAGTAGTATGGAGTTGGAGGTGACTTAACTGGTGGTGGTGGGGAACTGTAGTGATATGGTGGAGGAGGTGATTTCTTTGGTGGTGGTGGCGAGGAGTAGTAGTATGGAGGAGGTGGTGACTTAACAGGAGGTGGTGGAGAAGTGTAGTGATATGGCGGAGGAGGTGATTTCTTTGGTGGTGGTGGTGAGGAGTAGTAGTAAGGTGGAGGGGGAGACTTCACTGGTGGTGGAGGAGAACTGTAATAGTACGGGGGAGGAGGTGATTTAGCCGGTGGTGGTGGGGACTTGTAATAGTACGGTGGGGGTGGTGATGGGGAAGGTGGAGGAGGAGACTTGTAATAGTATGGTGGTGGTGGTGAAGGTGATGGAGGAGGTGGAGACTTGTAGTAATAAGGTGGTGGAGGAGAAGGTGAAGGAGGTGGTGGAGATTTGTAATAATATGGTGGAGGAGGTGAAGGAGAAGGTGGCGGTGGAGACTTATAATAATATGGTGGAGGTGGTGATGGTGAAGGCGGTGGTGGAGATTTGTAATAGTATGGTGGTGGAGGTGACGGTGAAGGTGGAGGTGGAGACTTGTAGTAATATGGAGGTGGTGGTGAAGGTGATGGTGGTGGAGGAGATTTGTAGTAATATGGTGGAGGTGGAGATGGTGAAGGAGGTGGGGGAGACTTATACACATAGGGTGGTGGTGGAGACGGTGAGGGAGGTGGTGGGGACTTATACACATATGGTGGTGGTGGAGATGGAGAAGGAGGAGGAGGTGAATTATAAACATATGGAGGCGGGGGAGAAGGTGAGGGAGGAGGTGGAGATTTGTACACATATGGTGGTGGTGGAGACGGAGAAGGAGGTGGTGGTGATTTGTACTCATACACTGGAGGTGGTGGAGAAGAGTATACATAAGGGTCTGCCGACACTACATTAGCAACAGCCAATATGGCCAATGCCACTAAGATTTGTGGCAAATATTGACGACCCTTGGCAGGGCCGCCATTGTTAAGCCTCATATCGCCGGAAAATTACACCACCTAGCCTCCCAAATGTGGTTAGCTAGTTAGGAGAAGAAGAAAGAAGACAACTTTTAGTTTTTCAGTTGAGAAGTGATGCCTTTTGTGGACTCATTGGCCTATGTATTTATACTAAAATTTCTTGATAAAATAGTTGTTAGTAAAGAGCTGTCTAAAAGGACTAATTCAATTGCCCTGATTGATAATCAAAGTGTAAAAATAAACATTAACAGCTGGATCTACAAGTTTTTTCATCTTATTTATTAAAGTCATCTTTGTATCACTTTGAATATTTCCATATTATCTTTATAACAAAGTAGTTTGTTACCTGCTACATAGAAAATGAGAAACAACATAGGAATGTGCAAAGAGATTGATTGATAGTTTTTAATATTTCCACTCTCTTGACATATTTTTTTGTTTGGTTAACCTTTACATGTTGCCACATGGAAGCATCTTATAAATAGTGAGATCATACAATTATTTGGTCTTTTTGTCGGTTTCCTTGTTATTGTATTTTTTTAGCAGCCCTAATTGTAGTGTGGTTGACTTTAAAAACGATTTGGAATTTGAGTTTTATAGGTTCGAAATGCTGTTCATTTTATCGACCATTTGAGTTATTGAGTCGTTAATATTTGTACATATATATACAACATAATATATACTCGGAATTCGGATAGTGAGTACAAAACAGACGATTTTAAAGCGGACTCTTCATTAGATAAAGAAGAGATCTTCAAGATTTCATAATTTCCTGTCGAATTTATTCAAATTCCAAGAAGTCTTTACTTGTTTATTTAATTTAATTAACAAAAAACCTCTTTTTTTTGTTTTTCATCCGGTGTCCAGTACTCACATTGGACTAAATCTGGAGTCGCGTCGGGAAGTTCCATATTAGGTGTAAATCACTCCCTAACAAAGACGACTTCGTATCCAAGAAGACTTGAACTTAGCGCCCCTAATAGCTTATATGTTGCATCCACCCCTAATTTTGGATTTCCAAAAAGTTTTTATTTTTTTAATTTATTCTGACAATGTTTATTTTTTTATACTGTCAAAGTATTTAAGATTAAAATACAGCTTGTAGAAGGCGGCTATTAGTTAATATATCTTAAACGCCAGTTAATCCAATGTCAGAAGCACCTTCTAATTAGTAGATTCTACTCTTAAATAAGAGAATAATTGTTTGTGAGATTAGATGAGTTTTAAAAAAATCTATTTTGGTGGATGGCTTAATTGAACTTCCTCCATCGTAAAATTATATTGTATGAACAAGGTTAAAATAATATCGAAACCCCTGTGACTTCTTTTCTCTTTTGCAATGCAATATGTGATGTATGATGCCTAAGCAAGACGTGTCCTCGACCTAATGGATTTGGATGCTACTTGCTTTTAGTGACTTGATGGTTCACAATTTTTGCGATTCATGCCCTAATATCGCATATGGCTATGTTCTTCATTCGTGTGTGAGCCGAGATATGTTATAGGTGTGACAATTTTACATTTTTAGGTGACAACTTACACTATCAACTTAACAAGGATAGGTCGGATTAGGAACGATTCTTTACTGGAGAAATCTAGATCACTATTTTTGAAATATCAAGAAATTCCTTTGCGTGCATCGTTTAGTGTGCAAGATAGCTATTTTTGTCACTATTTTGGGGCATTAAGGGGTCACAAATTAGGAAAGCACAATTTTCTAAATTTTTTGTATGTGTTCCATTAATTTTTGGGAATATTACTAATTTGTTTTGTTTGACCCAAACTTTTTAAGTACCATACGTAATGACCTATCGAACCATATTTGTTGCCTCTAGAGGATGCTCACCACTTTTGTAATCCTTTAGAGGTCACGAAAATGGTTTCTAATTTTTTTTTAATTTTCCCGGTGTGTTAGTCGATAATTTTTTGAAAATATGACGCCACTTTTTTAGTTTCTAGGGGTCACTCAACAAGAATTATGTGATTTTCGTAGTTTTTGGTGAGTTTTAGCCCATGAGTTTTTTGGTAATATGGATTACAAAAACTTTTTTGTCAAATCCTTTATAGAATCATCCATAATGACCCGGGGAACAACTCCCATGATCCATGATACTTATTTTAGCATTTAGGAGTCACTCAACAAGAATTAAGCGATTTTACAATTTTTCGTGTGTGTTAGTTCATGAATTTGTGTTGATACAAATTTCAAGAACTTTTTTGTCAAAATCTTCACAAAACCATCCATAATTACCTGGGTAACAATTCCAATAGCCTTACCATGATCCACACCATTTTTTTAGTATTTAGAGGCCACTCAACAAGAATTAGATGAATTTCTCAGTTTTTCGTGTGCGTTAGCTCATGCATCTTTTGGTGATATTGGCCAATTTACATAAATAAGATGATTTTCTCAGTTTTTTGTGAGACTGTATGTACTGCTCCCTCAACTTCCTACGAAGGTTCCAAAAAGGTTTCACAAAGAAATCATCCGGAAGCCATATCACCAAAATATTCATGGGCTAACACACACAAAAGACTCAAAATTGTCTAATTCCTATAAATTGCCCCCTAAGTGCCCAAAATGGACTCCGAAAATGGTGAGATTGTACATATTGCTCTCCCAACTCCCTACTGAGGGTTCCATAAAGGTTTCATAAAGAAATTGTCTGGAAGCCGTATCACCAAAATTTCCATTGGCTAACACACGAAAAGTTGCCTAATTCATGTAAATTGGCCCCTAAATATCCAAAATGGACTCTACAATGGTGATATTGTACGTAATTCTACCCCAAATCCCTACAGAGGGTTGCGTAATGGTTTCACAAAGAAAATAGTCTGGGGGCCATTTAGACACAATATTAATGGGCTAACAATCATAAAAAAGCTGAGAAAATCTCCCAATTTCTGTAAATTTCCCCCAAAATGCCCAAAATAGACTCTGAAAATAGTTAGACTGTACGTATTGATCCTCCAACTCCCTACGAAGGGTTACATAAAGATTTCACAAAGAAATCGTCTAGAAGTCGTATCACCAAAATATTCATAGGCTAAACGCACACGAAAAATTGAGAAAATTGCCTAATTCCTGTAAATTGGCCTCGAAATACCTAAAATGGACTCTAAAAATGGTGATATAGTACTTACTTTTCCCCCAACTACCTATGAAGTGTTCCGTAAATATTTCGCAAAGAAATCGTCTGAAAGTCATATCACCAAAATTCATAAGCTAACACACATAAAAATTGAGAAGATCGTCTAATTCTTGTAAATTGCACCCTAAATACCCAAAATTGACTCTAAAAATGGTGAGACTGTACGTACTACTCCCCCAACTCCCTACGGAGGTTTCAATAAAAGTTTCACAAAGAAATCGTTCGGAAGTCATATCACCAAAATATTTATGGGGTAACACACACGAAAAATTGATAAAATCGCCTAATTCTCGTAAATTGCCCCCATAAATTCCCAAAATGGACTTCAAAAATGGTTAGATTGTACGTACTGCTCTCTCAAATCCCTATGGAGGGTTTAATAAAGGTTTTACAAAGAAATCGTCTGGAAGCCGTATCACCAAATATTCAAAGGCTAACACATGAAAGATTGAGAAAATTGAGAAAATTGTTTGATTCCTATAAATTGCGCCCTAAATACCCAAAATGGACTCTAATGGTGATACTGTACGTACTTCTTCCCCAACTCCCTATGGAGGATTCCTTAGAGGTTTGGAAAAAAAATCATCTAGAAGTCATATTACCAAAATTTAATCATGGGCTAACACACACAAAAAATTGAGAAAATCGCCTAATTCTTGTAAATTGCCCCATTAATATCCAAAATGGACTTTGAAAATGGTGAGACTATATGTACTGTTCCCCCGAATCCCTATATAAGGTTCCATAAATATTTCGCAAAGAAATTGTCCAGAAGCCATATCACTAAAATATTCATGGCTAACACACACAAAAACTGAGAAAATCACCTAACACCTGTTAATTGCCTCATAAATACAAAAAAATGGACTTTGAAATGGGAAGACTATACGTATTGCTCCCCTAACTTTCTACGAAGGGTTCGTAAAGGTTTCATAAAGAAATCGTCTTGAAGCCATATCACCAAAATATTCATGGCTAACACACACAAAAATTTGAGAAAATCGCCTAACTACTGTAAATTGGCCCCTAAATGCCCAAAATGGACTTTGAAAATGGTGAGAGTGTACGTACTGCTCCCCCAACTCCCTATGTAGGGTTACATACAGATTTCACAAAGAAATCGTTTGGAAGCCGTGTCACCAAAATATTTATAGGTTAACACACATGAAAGATTGAAAAAATTGGCTAATTCTTGTAAATTGGCCTCTAAATACCCAAAATGGACTATAAAAATGGTAATACTCTACGTACTTATCCCCCAACTCCCTATAGAGGGTTCCGTAGAGGTTTCATAAATAAATCGTCTGAAAGCCGTAGCACCAAAATATTCATGGGTTAACACACAAAAAACTGAGAAAATAGCCTAATTCTTGTAAATTACCCCCTAAACGCCCAAAATGGACTCTGATAATGGTAAGATTGTACGTACTGCTCCCCCAACTCTCTACGGAGGGTTCCATAAAGGTTTCAGAAAGAATTCTCCCGAAAGTCATATCACCAAAATATTCCTAGGCTAACCCACAAATTGAGAAAATCGCCTAATTCCTAGAAATTCCCCCCTAAATACCCAAAATGGGCTTCGAAAATTGTGAGACTAGATGTACTGCTCCCCAAACTCCCTACAGAGGGTTCCAGAAAGGTTTCGCAAATAAATCATCTGAAAGCTATAGTATAATAATATTCATGGGCTAACATATAAAAACAAACTGAGAAAATTGTCTTAATTCCTATAAATTTGGCCTTAAATGCCAAAAAAGGACTCTGAAAATGGTGAGACTCTACGTACTTCACCTCCAATCCCTACGAAGGGTTCCATAAAGGTTTCACAAAGAAATCGTCTGTAAGTTATATCACCAAATTATTCATGGGCTAATACATACAAAAATAATATATGAGAAAATCACCTAATTAAGGTAAATTGGCCTTTAAATGCCTAAAATTGGCTCCGAAAATGGTGAGACTGTACGTATTGCTCCCCCAACTCCTTATTGGGGGGGGGGGGGTTCCATAAAGATTTCACAAACAAATCATCACGAAGCTGTATCACCAAAATATGCGTAGGCTAACACACACGAAAAATTGAGAGATCACCTAATTACTATAAATTGGCCCCTAAATACCCAAAATGGACTCTAAAAATGGTGATATTGTACGTACTTCTCCCCCAAATCCCTACGGAGGGTTTGGTTGAGGATTCACAAAGAAATCATTCGGAAGCCATATCCCAAAAATATTCATGGGCCAACCGCACACAAAATTTGAGAAAACCGCTTAATTATTGTAAATTGTCCCCTAAATGCCCGAAGAAAATGATGAGACTGTACGTATTGCTCCTTCAACTCCCTACGGACGATTCTGTAAAGGTTTCGCAAAGAAATCATCCAGAGGCCATATCACCAAAATATTCATGGGCTAACACATACAAAAAAATTGAGAAAATTACTGAATTCCTGTAAATTGCCCCCTAAATAGCCAAAATGAACTTCGAAAATGATGAGACGGTACATACTGCTCCTTCAACTCCCTACGAAGAGTTCCACAACGGTTTCACAAAGAAATCGTATAGAAGCCATATCACCAAGATATTCCTTGGCTAACACACACAAAATTAAGAAAATTATCGACTTTTCTAAATTACCCTAAAAATACCAAAAATAAACTTAAAAAATGGTGAGACTCTATGTACTGCTCCCCAACTCCTTACGAAGAAGTCTATAAAGGCTTCACAAAAAATCATCTGAAAGTCGTATCACCAAAATATTCAAAGACTAACACACACGAAAAATTGAGAAAATTGCCTAATTTCTGTAAATTGGCCTCTAAATACCCAAAATGGACTCTAAAAATGGTAATTACTAGATGAAATTCTCCCCCAACTCCCTACGGAGGGTTCCATTGAGGTTTCACAAGGAAATCGTTCGGAAGTCATATCCAAAAAATATTCATGGGCTAACACACACAAAAAATGGAGAAAATCACATAATTCTTGTAAATTACCCCTTAAATCCCCAAAATGGACTCTGAAAATGGTGAGACTGTAGGTACTGCTCCCTCAACTCCCTACGGAGTGTTCCATAAAATTTTCGCAAAGAAATCGTCCATAAGTCATATCACTAAAATATTCATAGGCTAACACACACAAATAACTGAGAAAATTGCTTAATTCTTGTAATACCCCCCTAAATGCCAAAAAGGGACTCTAAAAATAGTGAGACTATACGTACTGCTCCCCAAATTTCCTATAGAGGGTTTCGTAAAAGTTTCACAAAGAAATCATTCGGAAGCCATATCACCAAAATATTCATGGGTTAATACACACAAAAAACTAAGAAAATCGCCTAATTCTTGTAAATTGCCCCCCTAAATGCCCAAAATGGACTCTGAAAATCGTGAGACTGTACGTATTGCTCCCCCTATGAAGGGTTACATAAAGGTTTCACAAAGAAATTTTACGGAAGCCATATCACCAAAATATTCATAGGCTAATAATATACACGAAAATTTGATAAAATCGTTTAATTCATGTAAATTGGCCCATAGCCCAAAATGGACTCTGAAAATGGTGAGACTGTACGTATTGCTCTCACAAAATGGTGAGACTGTAAGTACTGCTCCCACAACTCGTCAAGAAGCTATATCACCAAAATATTCATAGGCTAACACACACAAAAAATTGAGAAAATTGCTTAATTACTGTAAATTGGCCCTTAAATATCCAAAATAGACTCTAAAAATGGTGATAATGTATGTACGTCTCCCCCAACTCCCTACGGAGGGTTTCGTAGAGGTTTCGCAAAGAAATCAATGGAAAGTCATATCACCATAATATTAGTGAACTAACACACACAAAATAGTGGGACTATAGACTATGCTTTCCTCAACGTCCTCATAAAGTTTTATCTAAAAAAATGTCTTCCTTAGTGGACGAACAGTGGGATCACAAAAGCAAAAATAATAAAATAATGAATTTGGAAAAAAGAATTTGACTAAAATCTTATACATTAATCATCAATGTTAAGAAGGTCTATAATTTTCATTATAATTCTTTAATATAGTTTTTCTTTGAATTTTTTTAAAAAATATTGTGTCCAAAAAGTTAATCAATCCACGTCTAATATTCTTTCGTGGTTTATTTATATATTAAAACTTTTTTAAAATAAAAAGAAGAGACGTACCAGTATGGGAGCAAAGTCAACTGATAATAAAATAAATGAATTTATGTTTTGTTTGAAATATATATAGTGATAATCGATTTTTTTTGTTTTGTTATATTACAGAGCAAATTTTCTTATAATTATAGAGTTCAAGTTAATTTACGTGAATCTCATCTAATTTCCCGGATACTTATTTTTTCCATCATTAGATGTACTAATTACTTAATTCTATCCACTTTACCTCCGCAATATAAAACATTCAACTCATGAAACATACTATAAGCTTTATTGTAAAATTATGAAGTATATATTCTTATAATTTTTACTAAAGAAATATTACCAATCAATGTTCAGCAAACAAATTTACCTATAATTACCTAATTATATATAGATATTTTTTACTCTACATATAATTTAGGGAAAAGGGTCAAAAATACCCTTCAACTTTGGTTTATTGTTTGACTTTACCCTCGCCGTTAAGATGAAGTTAAATTTACCCTCACCGTTACTAATTTCACCAAAATTACCCCTCAAATGGATGGAAAGCCCCAAATCAACTAAAATTACCCAATTTTGATTAAAATGACCCGATTTCTCTTTTAATCTGAACCCGACCCACGAATTCATACCAAATTAAAACCCTAAATCCATTTCTCTAATCTTCCTCTCCTTCCTCAGTTGAAATACCCTATTATAGAGGCAAAAAAGCTCAACTACAATATCATTCTCCTTCTCCTCACAAGGTAAGTCATTTTCTATTGAGTTAATTTCATTTTATTATGCTAATGGATATTTAACAATGAAAGTTGCTAGCATATCACATTAGCGGGTAATTGAAAATAAATAATTTGTAATTTCGATCGGTAATTTTAGAGAAACTTTTGTGTTTTTTTCATTTCAGAAATAGAGTTGATTGATCAATGATGAAGATCGAGGTGGGAAAATCGACTATGGTGTAGCCTGTGACTGAGATGCCGCAACTAAGGCTGTGGAACTCTGTGGGAAAATCAACGATGGTGTAGCCTGTGACGGAGACTCCGCAACCGAGGTTGTGGAACTCTAATGTGGATTTGGTGGTGCCTAATTTCCACACACCAGTGTTTGTTTCTATAGGCCAACAAGATCCCTAAATTTTTTTGACCGAAAGGTGCTTAAGGAGGTATTAAGCAAAGCTCTACTGCTGTTTTATCCGATGGGTGAGAGGCTGTGCAGGGACGAAGATGGCCATATTGAGATTGATGGTAAGGGCCAAGGTGTGTTGTTTTGCAGAAGTTGAGTGATGGTGTGGTGGATGATTTTGGTGATTTTGCACCGACGTTAGGGCTTCAAGGCTTATTCCGACAGGTGATTACTCAGAAGGAATGCAATCTTATGCTCTCTTAGTGTAATGGGTAAAAGAGATTGGGTTTTAGGTTAGAGGGGTCGGGGCATTGGGTTTAAAATGGGGAATGGGTCCTTTTTTAAAATTCGGGTTAATTTGGGTCAATTTTGGGGATTCTGTCCATTTGAGGGGTAATTTTGGTGAAATTAGTAACGGTGAGGGTAAATTTAACTTCATTTTAACGGCGAGGGTAAAGTCAAACAATAAACCAAAGTTGAAGGGTATTTTTGACCTTTTTCCCTATAATTTAATGTCTAACTTAAATCCTCATACAAAAATGACAAAAAAATGTGTACTGATAAAGAAAATATGGAGTACCTAAAGTACTGATTTGTACTTTTTTCCAAGTCTCAAAAAATTAAACACTCTTTAATAAACTTATTAGGTATTAATAGTTAGTATTAATTGAAAACAACAGAAATTGATTTTTAATAACTTAGTTCATGAACAAATGGTTCTAAAATTAATTAATAAAAAGATTTCAAAATTAAATAAATAGTCAAACTTATTTTTAAGTATATCACAAAATATAATGGAGTAGTTGAAACATTTCAATATCAAAGAAATCAACGTTTATAGTTGGCAACAAGTAAAATCCACATACTTGAAGCCATGCATCCGTCATAGGAAGGTTCTTTTTCATTCCGTGTTTGGTGTTCGCTTTTGAGTCCGCTTTATCTGAATTCATATTGGAAAATTTCATGTTAGCGAGTAAAATACTTCCTATTAAAGGTGACTTCAAACTCAGAACTTGAACTCGAACTCGAGACATCTGAGGAGGAATATTTACTAATTACCATTCTACCACAATCTTTGGTTTAAGTTTATTTACCACTAATGAACTAAAGAAACAAGAATACAATTTTTTATTTTTTTTAAACTATGTGTATGATTATCATTCAATTATATATTATTATTGATACTTGTAGGTCTCAAACTGTAAATGTCCATGAGATAGAGGCAACACATGGAAACCAAAATGGTAAGAGAGTGGAAATATTGAAAATTAGCAATCATTTTCCCTTAGCAACATTTTGTGGCATGTGAAGTGATATGCCACTTTGCACATTCATATGTTGTTCTCATGATTTTCTTTATAGCAAGTAAATGATGTGAAAATAATTCAAAGTGATCAAGAAGTGGAGTTTTTATAAGTAAAATTAGAATATGTTACATATTTTTTTACATTTGAATTGGTCCTTTAGACAGAGCTACCTCTAAAGGTGTTTTACTATAAATACATAGGCAAGTGAATCCCACAAAGGCATCACTTCTCAACTGAAAAACTTAAGGTTATCTCCTTTCTTCTTACTCTAACTAGCCACATTTGGGAGGTTAGGTGGTGTAATTTTCCGACGAAATGAGGCTTCAAGGTGACGGCCCTGCCAAGGGTCGTCAATATTTTCCACAAATATTAACGGCGTTGGTTATATTGGTTGTTGCTAATGTAGTGTCGGCAGACCCTTATGTATACTCTTCTCCACCACCTCCAACGTATGAGTACAAGTCACCACCGCCTCCTTCTCCTTCTCCACCACCACCTTATGTGTACAAATCTCCACCTCCTCCTTCTCCATCTCCACCTCCACCATACGTGTATACGTCTCCACCCCCTCCATCACCATCTCCACCACCACCATATGTGTATAAGTCTCCACCACCTCCATCGCCATCTCCACCTCCACCATATTATTACAAATCTCCTCCTCCACCATCACCTTCACCACCACCTCCGTATTACTACAAGTCTCCACCTCCACCTTCACCATCACCTCCACCGCCATACTATTACAAATCTCCACCTCCTCCCTCACCATCACCACCCCACCATATTACTATAAGTCTCCACCTCCTCCATCACCTTCACCTCCACCACCATACTATTACAAATCTCCACCACCTCCTTCGCCTTCTCCTCCACCACCTTATTACTACAAGTCTCCTCCACCACCATCTTCATCACCACCACCACCATACTATTACAAGTCTCCTCCTCCACCATCCCCATTACCACCCCCACCATACTATTACAAGTCTCCACCACCACCTTCTAAATCACCTCCTCCCCCCTACTATTACAATTCTCCGCCACCACCAGTGAAGTCTCCCCCTCCACCATATTACTACTCCTCACCACCACCACCAAAGAAATCACCTCCTCCACCATATCACTACACTTCCCCACCACCACCTGTTAACTCACCACCTCCTCCATACTACTACTCCTCTCCACCACCACCCAAGAAATCACCTCCTCCACCATATCATTACACTTCTCCACCACCACCTGTTAAGTCACCACCTCCTCCTTACTACTACAACTCTCCACCACCACCTGTTAAGTCACCACCTCCTCCATACTACTACAAGTCTCCACCACCACCAACTCATTACTATCCTCCACATCATCAATTTGTGGTCAAAGTTGTCGGAAAAGTCTATTGCTTTAGATGTTATGATTGGAAGCACCCAAAAATGTCTCACGGCAAGAAACACCTGAAAGGTACCATAGTCTTTATATCATGCCTGCTTTCTTTATTTTCTCTTAATTTGTCATAAGATAAATTATCCAACTATATATTCTCCTTTTTGTTGCTTTGTACTATATGCCTTTATCATAATTCATAAATGTGTCTCGTTTTATTTGAATCTTCAATCCTCTTTTGTTGTCATCCATATCTATAGTTAAAATTAAGATTTTAAAACGTCAAGACAATTTATAAGGCAACAACTATAAATATAGGGCATAGTTCTGCAGTTTGTGTTAATTAATGTATTATTTCTGTTTTCACATGGATTTAGGGGCTGTTGTTGAAGTAACTTGCAAGGCTGGTGACAAGAAAATTGTGACTTATGGCACCACTAAGATCAATGGCAAATTTAGCATCACAGTTGAAGGATTTGAATATAGCAAATATGGAGCAAAGGCTTGCAAGGCTAAACTCCACAATGCTCCTAAGGATTCAAAGTGTAGCATTCCTACAAATCTTCATTGGGGAATTAAGGGTGCTAACCTCAAAGTGAAGTCAAAGAATAAATATGAAGTTGTTCTCTATGCAAAACCATTTGCTTATGGTTCTAAGACACCTTATGCCGAATGCAAAAAGCCCAAGCCTACACCTGCTCCATACTACTACAAATCTCCTCCACCTCCATCACCGACTTATGTTTATAAGTCACCACCTCCTCCATCACCAAAGTATGTGTATAAGTCTCCACCACCACCTGCTTACTTTTACAAATCTCCGCCACCACCAACTAAGTCTCCACCACCTCATTATTATTACAAGTCTCCACCTCCACCATCACCAAAACCTACACCAGTATACTATTACAAATCTCCGCCCCCACCAACTAAGTCTCCACCACCTGCATATTATTACAAGTCTCCACCTCCACCATCACCAAAACCTGTGCCAGTATACTATTATAAATCTCCGCCGCCACCAACTAAGTCTCCACCACCTCCATATTACTACAAGTCTCCACCTCCACCATCACCAAAACCTGTGCCAGTATACTATTATAAATCTCCGCCCCCACCAACTAAGTCTCCACCACCTCCATATTACTACAAGTCTCCACCTCCACCATCACCAAAACCTGCACCAGTATACTATTATAAATCACCCCCACCCCCGTCACCATCACCACCTCCACCTTACTACTACAAGTCTCCACCACCACCATCACCTTCTCCCCCACCTCCCTACTACTATAAGTCTCCTCCACCACCATCGTCATCTCCTCCTCCACCCTACTACTACAAGTCCCCTCCTCCACCATCTCCATCACCACCTCCACCATACTACTACAAGTCACCACCACCACCATCGCCGTCTCCTCCACCACCCTATTACTACAAGTCACCACCACCACCATCGCCATCTCCTCCACCACCATACTACTACAAGTCTCCACCACCACCATCACCATCACCTCCACCACCCTACTACTACAAGTCTCCTCCACCCCCATCGCCTTCTCCCCCTCCACCATACTACTACAAGTCACCACCACCACCTTCCCCATCTCCTCCACCACCCTACTACTACAAGTCTCCTCCACCACCATCCTCATCACCTCCCCCACCCTACTACTACAAGTCCCCTCCTCCACCATCGCCTTCTCCTCCACCACCTTACTACTACCACTCTCCACCTCCACCGGTTAAGTCTCCTCCTCCACCCTATTACTACAACTCACCTCCTCCACCCGTGAAATCACCTCCTCCACCAGTATACGTTTATGCTTCTCCACCACCTCCAACTCACTACTAAGTATTTCTTGGAGCTCAACCATTCTCCGAATCAATCAAGTGAGCATCTATTTGAATTGTGATATTTTTTTTATATAAGACTTTTTTTTCTTCCAAATAAATCTCTAATCTTCTATTTGGTTGTTTCTATTCAGATTTCAATTTGATGCACAAAATAAAGAATGGTTTCTTGAGGGAAAGATTCAAACTTCAATGGCAGAAATCAATTAATTTTTTGAATGAGATCTTCTATTTTACAATTGGAAGATTGATACTTCATGACATGGACCAGTTTGCTTCAACTTCTCCTCTGGCCCTCTTGCTCATTGTTCTCACTGCTTGTTCATGGAGAAATAGCTTCAATAACTTAATTATTCCTTACAATAAGTTATTATTTATTGGTTCTTGAGTTTTAATGTTTTATTCCTTTACCCATTCATTTCCTATTAGTTATTGTATGTTGTTTTCTTGTACTTTGTACTTCGTGTACAAATCATGAATAAGAAGATTAATTTTGTTATATTCACTACTTTTTTTAAACAAATGAGTCGAGCCTATTTACACAACGTCATTTAAGGCGCAACTATCTTCTTTTAAACTTTGCATATATATATGTAGCCAATTAATTAAGAGTGCGGCTTTTAATATTAAAATAGTTATTGTTGTTGCAAGCTTGAAGCGCGAGTTAAATCAAGCGAGTGTTATTGAAAAAAACTAGTTTTCTTCTTTCGAAAGTTCTTATATACAAGATTTTACGGAGTAATTTTGAACACCAACTAAAGATTAACATTATTATAAGCTTGATGTAAGGCTTCATAACATTTTGTAATAATGTTTGAAATATGTTTACAAACATACGATATGATATAAGACTTAGACCAAATAAATGCATGAGATCCGAGATCTCCATACACAAATGCATGAAGTTCAATCATATATGCATGAACTTCATGTGAATATATCTAAGTTTTACCAAGTCAAACTTAAAATGTATATATTTGAAAGTCAGACTCGCCTAAAGTTGATTTAAAACACTTAAAAGATATTAGGTCTTGAAATGGGCTATATGTGTAGTTTGACCATAAAATAAGTGGATGGACTTGTCCAATGCTTAAAAAGAGCCAAAATTTTAACACTTATTTTTTGGAGATTGATTTAAAAATACTTCAAGGTGTGGAGCTTCGATAAGGGTCTAGGGCAATAAACGATACGACATATGTAATCTTAGATCAAAAGTTTAACGGATAACAAAATTGCTCAATATCGAATAGTTCATAAAAGGTCAATAAATTTTTCTAATTCAATTTGGATTTGGCAATGGTATCAAATTATGAAAATCACATGGTGGTTCCATATTTTCCTCATTATTTAGCAACTAGACCACGTAATTACCTAAACCTTGGACTTTGAAACAATCATTCTCCTACCTAATTAAGAGGTGTTTATGACACTGTATTAACTGGCTATTGAGGTCTTCTTCAATAATAAAAAAATAATAGGATCATATATTAACATTTTTGGTCTTTCGATTATTGATACGTTTAAATTTTAGTCCTGTTGATATATGACTAATTAGCATTTACAACTGTCAATGAATTGAATGTGCACTTTTAATCCTTTTGCTTATGAATATTCACAAATTTGTAGTGTTAATTTCTTACCCATCAACACTCATTGTACTATGCAACTTTCCTAATATACATGTATATACATATCCAAAGTTAGGGGCGGAGGTAACCTTCAGGATATTGACGATGTAAATCTGTTAAAATAAATATGTTCAAAACATAAATTTACTAGCATGTGAGGTTGCCGTCCTAAAAATAGCACGTTCTCATAAAATTAAAATCTTAGGTCCGTCTCTATTAGTTCAAAGTCAACCACAACTGCTAAACCAAAAGGACCATTATTATGAGATCTCAGTGTTCATTGAGGCAACATGTGCAGGAAAATCAAAATATATATTTAATGGAAAGAAAGTGGAAATATTAAAAGTTAGCAATCATTTTCCAATACAACATTTTATGGCATGTGTGTCTCTTTGTAGCAGGTAATTGTTACTACAACTTGTTATATAGATATTGTGGAAATATTCAAAGTGATCAAGAAATGGATTTTACTATATTTTAAGTCAATGATTATCAATTAGAACAATTGAATTAGTCCCTTAGACACCTCTAAACCAAAGGCTACTTCCTATGAAGTGTTACTATAAATACATAGGCTATGAATCCCCAAAAGGCATCACTTCTCAACTGAAAAACTATAGGTTATATCCTTTCTTCTTCCTCTAACTAGCCACATTTGGGGCTAGGTGGTGTAATTTTCCAACGAAATGAGGCTTCAAGGTGGCGGCCCTACCAAGGGTCGTCAATATTTGCCACAAATCTTAACGGCGTTGGTTATATTGGTTGTTGCTAATGTAGTGTCGGCAGACCCTTATGTGTACTCTTCTCCACCACCTCCAGCGTATGAGTACAAGTCACCACCGCCTCCTTCTCCTTCTCCACCACCACCTTATGTATACAAATCTCCACCTCCTCCCTCACCGTCTCCACCACCACCCTATGTGTATAAGTCTCCACCACCTCCATCACCATCACCACCACCTCCATATTACTACAAGTCTCCACCTCCACCTTCACCATCGCCTCCACCACCATACTATTACAAATCTCCACCACCACCTTCACCATCACCACCCCCACCATATTATTATAAGTCACCACCACCACCTTCTCCTTCACCTCCTCCACCATACTATTACAAATCTCCACCACCTCCTTCACCTTCTCCCCCACCACCTTATTACTACAAGTCTCCACCTCCTCCATCACCATCACCACCACCACCATACTACTACAAGTCTCCTCCTCCACCATCCCCATCACCACCCCCACCATACTACTACAAGTCTCCACCACCACCTACTAAATCACCTCCTCCCCCGTACTATTACACTTCACCACCACCACCAGTGAAGTCTCCCCCTCCACCATATTACTACTCCTCACCACCACCACCAAAGAAATCACCTCCCCCACCATATCACTACACTTCTCCACCACCACCTGTTAAGTCACCACCTCCTCCATACTACTACTCCTCGCCACCACCACCAAAGAAATCACCTCCTCCACCATATCACTACAGTTCCCCACCACCACCAGTTAAGTCACCTCCAACTCCATACTACTACAAGTCTCCACCACCACCACCAAAGAAGTCTTCTCCCCCACCATACTACTATACTTCACCACCACCACCAACTCACTACTATCCTCCACATCATCAATTTGTGGTCAAAGTTGTTGGCAAAGTCTATTGTTTTAGATGTTATGATTGGAAGCATCCAGAAATGTCTCATGGCAAGAAACACCTAAAAGGTACCATAGACTTTATAATTTATATATACTACACTCAAGCAACATTGTTTGTTCTTGCCAGAAGTGGAAAGATCTAAATGATAATTTATTAACAACTCAATTAATTTCATGTTAACTGATGTATTATTTCTTTTTTATACATGAATTAGGTGCTGTTGTTGAAGTGACATGCAAGGCTGGTGACAAGGAAATTGTGAGTTATGGTACCACTAAGATCAATGGTAAATTTAGCATCACAGTTGAAGGATTTGAATATAGCAAATATGGAGCAAAGGCTTGCAAGGCTAAACTACACAATGCTCCAAAGGATTCGAAGTGTAGCATTCCTACAAATCTTCATTGGGGAATTAAGGGTGCTAATCTCAAAGTGAAGTCAAAGAATAAATATGAAGTTGTTCTCTATGCAAAACCATTTGCTTATGGCTCAAAGACACCTTACGCAAAATGCCAAAAGCCCAAGTCTACACCTGCTCCGTATTATTATAAATCTCCTCCACCTCCATCACCAACTTACGTTTATAAGTCACCACCTCCTCCATCACCAACATATGTTTACAAGTCACCACCTCCTCCAACTCCGACATACGTTTACAAGTCTCCACCACCACCTACTTATTATTACAAGTCTCCACCTCCACCATCACCAAAACCTTCACCTTCACCTGTATACTATTATAAATCACCACCACCTCCATCACCATCGCCTCCAGCTCCTTACTATTACAAATCTCCACCACCACCAACTAAGTCTCCACCACCTCCTTATTACTACAAGTCTCCACCTCCACCATCACCAAAACCTGCACCTGTATACTATTATAAATCACCACCACCTCCATCACCATCACCACCCCCACCTTATTATTACAAGTCTCCACCACCACCATCTCCTTCACCTCCTCCACCATACTACTATAAGTCCCCACCACCACCATCGCCATCTCCTCCACCACCATACTACTACAAGTCCCCTCCTCCCCCATCACCTTCTCCTCCTCCACCATACTACTATAAGTCACCACCACCACCGTCACCATCTCCTCCACCACCCTACTACTACAAGTCTCCTCCACCACCGTCACCATCTCCCCCACCACCATACTACTATAAGTCACCACCACCACCTTCACCGTCTCCTCCACCACCCTATTATTACAAGTCTCCACCACCACCATCACCATCACCTCCACCACCCTACTACTACAAGTCTCCTCCTCCTCCATCACCTTCTCCCCCTCCACCATACTACTACAAGTCACCACCACCTCCATCACCATCTCCTCCACCATCCTACTACTACAAGTCTCCTCCACCACCATCCCCGTCACCACCCCCACCCTACTACTACAAGTCGCCTTCTCCACCACCTCCTTACTACTATCACTCTCCCCCTCCACCAGTAAAGTCTCCTCCCCCTCCTTATTACTATAGCTCACCTCCTCCACCCGTGAAATCACCTCCTCCACCAGTATATATTTACGCTTCACCACCACCTCCCATCCACTACTAAGAAACTTCAAGAGTTCAATCACTCTCCACAATCAATCAAGTGAGTTGACATTTGATTTGTGATTCTTTTTCATAGATTAATTTTGTCTATTTCTTTTCTTTCAATTAAGGCTCTAATTTTCTTTTTGGTTGTTTCTTTTCAGGTTTTAGTTTGAAGCACAAAATAAATTATGATGGCTTCTTGAGGAGAAGATTCAAATGTCAATGGAACAATGCTTCATAGTGTTTATTTCTTTGTAATTTATTGTTTGTATTGAGGATATCCTCATTTTATTCATTACTACTAATTAAATTGTATTTTGTTAGTTTGTGCACAAATCAATAAGAAGGTCAATTTGGTCCCAAATGATATATAGCTTCATAACAACGATTATTTTTCACAAGCAAAATTGATCAATAATAACTAAGTACTGAATAAAATTGCGATTCAAAATTCGTAATCGATATAATTATACCTCCCAGTCTCCCATACATATAAATGTGCTTTTTAACTTGACTTTAATTGGTATCTATGTCCTCAAACTTTTATGTGACATATAAAATTGAACAAGTAGACGCACGCGTCTTATGTGACATATTGCACGTAGGATGTCAGGTAGAATGCAAATTGTCACATAGGACGTCATGTAAGATGCATGTTTCTTCTTGTTCAATTTTGTACAAATTTTAGTGGCTACTTATGTACACCCAAAGTTGAAAGGCATAGATATCAATTGAAGCCAAATTATAAATCACATTTATGTATAATGCCAAAATATTTTCTTACAACCAAACATCAAAAAATTAAAAATAAATCATATAAAATTTTCCATCATAATGCGCCCTAAAAGGATAAAAATCCATTTCTAGTTTGTTCTATGCTTTTGATGATCCTTTTTGCTCAACATATTGGACCAATAAAAAGCTGCAAAAAAAATTATAAGTATTGCATCCACATGTAGTCGATTTCATCATTGAGAATTCACATGCATTTTCAAATATTATTACAATGAAAATACTTATATAAGAAAAAAAAAATATAGTTACAAAATATGTAAATATATAGTTTGATCCTTATTTTGTGGTCCAGTCAATTGATCATATATACACTTTTGATCAATCTGACATTGAACTTCAATAAATTAGTGAATTATTAAGAGTTAACTTATTCGATTATCAATATGTTATTTTAAATTTATATTGTTACTTCAAGATAATATAGTTCTGAAAATAATTTAAATATCGCATATTTCGGTACATCAAGGGATAAATCCACTTTTAACTCATTGAAAGTTGGATGTGTTTTGTCTTATATTATAAGGATCAAAACCAAAATTCATTACTAATTGAGGGAATAAACATATAATATCCTCATTAAGAAATAATAATAAAAAAATAAAGTAACAATTTGGGAGGAAATTAAAGTCAACTAAGGAAATAATTGAAGTTATGTCGGCTTGTAATTTTAAATTAGTATAATGTCAGAACTAATATCCAATATTCCCTGTAATTAAACAAAAATGACAGAAATATTCTCTTATTAAATATATATATATATATATATATATATATATACACACACACTTACAATTCAGAAATGTGTAATAAACAAAACAAACATGATTAGGTAATTCTTTATTTATTTTTAGGGGTTTTTTCATCTGGTGTTTGGTGTCTGGTGTCTAGCTTCTGTTTTGTAGTTCGATAACTCAAATTCACATCAAAACATTTTATATTGGATGATAAAACGCTCTTTATAAAAAAAACGATTGAATTAACTTCAAACCATTTCTTGTGCATGTCATACCAAGTCTCCACAAGCAATGTAACTAAACTAACATTGTATAGCATTTTAGAGTACTTCCATTTGTAATTGTTGAAACATTTCAATCTTAAAGAAATTGTTGTATTCTAAATTAAGTTTCTAGTCCACAATTTACAAAATAATTTGTACTCTAAATCAAGACAATCTTGTCTTTTCTGTCATAATCATAGTATTAGGAACTTATCGGCTCAACTAATTCAAATTTCCTATGCATAGGACCTATTCTCCCTACCAGTAATATCTTCATTCCTAAAATTCAATCTCGAAACCTCGTTAAAGTAAAGAATCGTCCACCTCATGATATTCCATAATGATATGCAAAAGATATTTAAGAACATGCTACATAATGAATAATTATTTGTAAATAGAAAAACACAAATAATTGTGAGATCTCACTCTATATGAGACAAAACAAAAAGTTCAAAAATGCAAGAGAAGTGGAAATAATTTTAAATTAGCACTCACTTGCCTTAAACCATTTTATGATATGTTTATATTTACTTGTTAAAGAAGTTGCATGGAAAATTCAAAGTGATCTAGTAATGGACTTTAAAAATAAAAATAAAAATAAAATAAAAAATTAATCTAGCTGTTTTAAGTTCTTAATAATTTTAATCATTGATTAACAATCAGATTAATTGAATTGGTCACTTGTTGACAACTCTATACCAGCTAGTAGTTATTCTTAAAATGTTACTATAAATACTTTGTACACTCAATCAACTAAATTCATCACTTCTCAACTATAACACTATAGTCTTTCTCTCTTTTTTTTCTTCAAGTTTTCAAGTTTTTGGAGATTTTTGTAGCCATATTTGAGGGGTGGGTGGTGGTGTTTTCCGGCGAAAATGAAGTTTAACGGTGGCGGCCCCACGAGGGGTCGTCGTTTGCGGCTGATCTTAGTGGCATTGGCCGTATTGGTTGTGGCAAATGTAGTATCGGCTGACCCTTATGTATATTCTTCTCCACCTCCTCCCGCGTATGAGTACAAGTCACCACCACCTCCTTCTCCTTCTCCGCCTCCACCTTACGTATACAAATCTCCACCTCCTCCTTCACCTTCTCCCCCGCCTCCATATGTCTATACGTCTCCACCTCCTCCTTCACCATCTCCACCACCACCATATGTATACAAGTCTCCACCACCTCCATCTCCCTCTCCACCACCACCATATGTATACAAGTCTCCACCTCCCCCGTCACCATCACCACCTCCACCGTATTACTACAAGTCACCTCCTCCGCCATCACCTTCACCACCACCACCATACTACTATAAATCTCCTCCACCACCTTCACCATCACCCCCACCACCATATTATTACAAATCTCCACCACCTCCCTCACCATCACCACCTCCACCATACTACTATAAATCTCCACCACCTCCTTCGCCTTCTCCACCACCACCTTACTATTACAAATCTCCTCCACCACCATCACCGTCACCTCCACCACCTTACTACTATAAATCTCCACCGCCTCCTAAGTCTTCACCACCCCCACCTTACTACTACAACTCCCCACCCCCACCCAAGAAGTCACCTCCACCACCATATTACTATAATTCTCCACCACCCCCGAAGAAGTCTCCTCCTCCACCATACTACTACAACTCTCCTCCACCACCAAAGAAATCACCTCCTCCACCATATCACTACACTTCACCACCACCACCAGCTAAGTCACCTCCTCCACCATACTACTATAGCTCTCCTCCACCACCAAAGAAATCACCTCCTCCACCGTATCACTACACTTCTCCACCACCACCAGCTAAGTCGTCTCCTTCACCATACTACTACACTTCACCACCACCACCAAAGAAATCATCTCCTCCACCATACTACTACACTTCCCCACCACCACCTACTCACTATTATCCTCCACATCATCACTTTGTGGTCAAGGTTGTTGGAAAAGTTTACTGTTTTAGATGCTATGATAAGGATTACCCAGAAAAGTCTCATGCTAAGAAGCACCTCAAAGGTACAAATATATGTTTTACTTCAATTTATTTCAATTTTTTTATTCTTTACAGTATACTATTCATCATTAGAAGTGTCTTTGTAAATTCAATTTATTTTTAGTATTAATTGAGTATTATTTCTTCTTTCTATGAATTAGATGCTGTTGTTGAGGTAACTTGCAAAGCTGGTGACAAGAAAATTGTGAGTTATGGTACCACTAAGAACAATGGTAAATTTAGCATCACAGTTGAAGGATTTGAATATAGCAAATATGGAGCAAAGGCTTGCAAGGCTAAACTCCACAATGCTCCTAAGGATTCAAAGTGTAGCATTCCTACAAATCTTCATTGGGGAATTAAGGGTGCTAACCTCAAAGTGAAGTCAAAGAATAAATATGAAGTTGTACTCTATGCAAAACCATTTGCTTATGGCTCAAAGACACCTTATGCAGAATGCCTAAAACCCAAGCCTACACCTGCTCCATACTATTATAAATCTCCTCCACCTCCATCACCGACTTATGTTTATAAGTCACCACCTCCTCCATCACCAAAATATGTGTACAAGTCACCACCTCCCCCAACCCCGACATACGTTTATAAGTCTCCACCACCACCTGCTTACTATTACAAATCTCCACCACCACCAACTAAGTCTCCACCACATTACTATTACAAATCTCCACCTCCACCATCACCAAAACCTGCACCGGTATACTATTATAAATCTCCACCTCCACCATCGCCAAAACCTGCACCCGTGTACTATTATAAATCACCACCACCACCATCACCAAAACCTGCACCCGTGTACTATTATAAGTCACCACCACCACCATCACCAAAACCTGCACCGGTATACTATTATAAGTCACCACCACCACCATCACCTTCTCCCCCACCTCCTTACTACTACAAGTCTCCTCCACCACCATCACCAAAACCTGCACCTGTATACTATTATAAATCACCACCACCACCATCACCATCTCCTCCTCCACCATACTATTACAACTCTCCACCACCACCATCGCCATCTCCGCCACCACCATACTACTACAAGTCCCCACCCCCACCATCACCTTCTCCTCCACCACCTTACTACTACAAGTCCCCACCGCCACCATCACCTTCTCCCCCTCCACCATACTACTACAAGTCTCCTCCACCCCCATCACCATCTCCTCCACCACCATACTACTACAAGTCTCCTCCACCCCCATCGCCATCTCCTCCACCACCTTACTACTACAAGTCTCCACCACCCCCATCACCATCACCTCCACCACCCTACTATTACAAGTCTCCTCCTCCACCATCCCCATCACCACCTCCACCCTACTACTACAAGTCACCACCTCCACCGTCACCTTCTCCTCCACCTCCCTACTATTACCACTCTCCACCTCCACCAGTAAAATCTCCTCCTCCCCCCTACTACTACAACTCACCTCCTCCACCCGTGAAATCACCTCCTCCACCAGCATACATTTACGCCTCTCCACCAGCTCCAACCCACTACTAAGTTCTAAAAAGAGCTTAGCCATTCTCCATAACCAATTAAGTAAGTAACTCTTTCTATTTTTCCTATGAGATCAACCTTTTATTCTTCTTATAATTCAATTAAGACTCTAACATTGTGTTTCATTTTTCAGATCCTAGTTTGAGGAGAAGCTCCAATCATCATTGGCATGAAGCAGTTAACATGGAGCAATTTGTTTCTTCTTATCTTGTGGCCTTCTTGCACATTGTTATCATTGTATCTTCTTGGTGGAAGCTTCAACAACTTAATTAATTATTCCTTATAGGAAGAAAATAATTTGTTAGTGGTCCTTTGAGGTGTATCTGACTTTGATATTTCAAAGGCTTTAATTTATTAATTTTCCATTAGTTATCACTACTTGTTTTGTGTATCTTCATGTGCTTTATGCACCAAATCAATAAAAGATGAAGTTTGTTCTTTTTCATTGTTTTGTCTTGTTCCCTTTCCAAACAAGTTACAAATTTGTTTATTCATATTCATGTTGATTTATTAGTAAGTTTTCACTTTCTTGACTAATCCAATGTGATGCAAAATAATCAAGAATCTCCAATCACCCCCAAATTATTTATATTGTAAATCTATCAAAAGCGGCCCACAATTAGATTTTTGTGAGGCGTATAGAGAGGTTGTTTTTGATAGACTCTCGGCTAAAAAAATGTCAACAATGAAGAAAAAGTAAGAAAGAAAAAGAGAACAAAATAGCAATGTACAAAACAAGTGTAGCAACAGATATTAATGCATGTTGGAGAAAAAGAAACTATGTAATACCTAAATCATAATACTATAGAGATACAAAAACTCAATATTACCAATTAATCTTCGACCACCATATTTTCCTATTTATGGTCATGTCCTCGGTAAGCTATGTCCTACCATGTCATACTTAATTCACCTCCGCCCCCAAATCTCTCTATGGCCTACCTCTACCTCTCCTAACTACGCAATACCTAAATCATATTACTAAAAGTTGTGTCATGTCTTATAGGTACTCTTTGATGGAGGTGTTAAACGTGGTGACAATTTTAGCGGCCAAATAAGTTACATTTTTCAATAATAATTGCGTACTCTTTTCACTTAGATTAATATTTTTCTTCTTAGTTAAATGTTTGTTGAATAAATAAATAATCAAATGCTAGAGTGCTTGGAGTTGATTCACTAAGCTTTTTTATTTATATATATCTGCTGGTAAAGTTGACATACGGGTTCAATGTTGACAAATTGCTTATAGTCCGAGTTTTCAAATATCGACTGTTAGATCATATACATTTGTATACACGAGTGTTCCCGACCTTTTGTGGAGGTAGAGAGGTTGTTTGACCTTCAGGATTGCAAATTGCAAATTAATAATACTAGTAATTAGTAGTTACTAATAATGAGGAGAGGAGGTGGCTACTCTAATCCTCAACCTTTCGGGGGTCATGTCTTCGATAAACAAAAATTATGTCATGTGCTATCTAATCATATCTTTATTACTAGCACATTCATAAACCTCTTCACGTGTCCAAACCACAAAATCTTCCACTGTGTTATCCTTTGTGCTTTTGATCATTTGAAATTCTCTTTTTATATTATTGGCATTATATGTGTAAGCAACTTGTTGCTTTCAAATTCCTTCATATATAGCCCCAATTTATTTTACACTTGGTTGTCACCTTTAATATTTTATAAGAGTAATAGTCTGCATCTGTCATACTCATATTCACAATCACAAACAAAGAAACTCACCTGCACCACATGTTTGAACATTGAAAAGTATCAAACTAAAAGAAAAGTGTGTAGCTTACAAATTATACGCAACGAGAACCAGTGAATAAGAGATACAAGAATAATCATCAAATACATGAGTTCAGCAAGTACAATTTCAATAATCGCGAGTCCAAAAAATTCTACACGTGTATATATGGATCAACTGGCAAAAAGAGGAACACCGGAGACAAGTGATCCTCGAGTGTGTACAAAGGCACAACAACAAAACATTATGAGGGGTCTTGAGAGCAATCTTTGACCCCAAATGGCAGATAAATGGAAATGCAATTGCAGAACAACGTTGAAGAAGGAATCAACATATACTCTCCTCTATAACTTTTATCATGGAAAACTACAGGCACCCGAAAAGTATCAACTCTACAACAGAGGGTGAGTTCAATAGGCTTACCGACTAGAAAACATTCCGGATAATATGACACAAAGGTTTCTTACTTTCAGAATTGGGCTAAATTTCATTGGTATCCTCCACCGTATGGTTGTTGGCCATAGGGACCCATGCCCATTCGGGGATTGTAACCTCCCTGCATGGGAGCTCCAGGTCCAGGGGGGAATCCGGAAGGCTGTTGCATCTGAAATCCTTGACCCATGTTCATTCCCATGCCCATGTTGTTCATAGGTCTGTTCATCCCCATGCCGCCATAAGGCTGGTTCAATCCTCCATATGCTCCCATGCCAGGACCCCCAGCAGGGCCACCACCAACCATACCCATACCACCCATACCCATACCCATGCCCATGCCAGAACCAGCCATTGGGTTTGATGGAGCCCGTAGTGCACCTGCACCAGCTCGGCCAACTCCGGTACCTGAACCCATTGCTTTGCCCATGTTAATAGTAGAGATCATGGGGGCTGTACTGGGTTTCTCCATCCTTTTCTCCTTGCGATTAATAGCATCAAAATCAACTCCGATATTAGCTAATGGATTTGTTTTAGCTGCATAACAAAAATTACAATGTGACAAGGGAACAAAGAAAAGATATTCAAATAGATCACAAAAGAAAACACTTACATCCAGAAATGTTCAAATTGACCAGTCCACGGCTCAATGTATCTGCCCAAACGGTAGACTTCGTCTCGAATTTGTCTTTGGCTGGTTGGGTGTTGGCGACAAGAGCTGTCGAAGCTGGAGTAGTTTGTGTCAGCACTAGAGCATTACTTGTTTGAATTTGTGAAGATTGAAGATGCATTTGTGATGGCATGTGAGTTGCACCAGTTGGCTGTGAAAGGTAGGGTTGTCCAGCAGATGTTTGACCCATTTGGCTACCAAATGGACCTGTAGATCCTAATCCTGTGTTGTAACCTCCAGCATTGGCATTGCTCTGCACAGATGAGCCGGCGGGAATCTGATAACCAGACTGTGGAAAGTAACCTGCTGCAGGTTGGAAACCAGATGTGGGTTGACCACCTGTGGGTCCAAAACCAGACTGTGATGCTTGACCAGGTTGAGCTGGGTAGCCTCCATAAGATGGAGAATTGTTTGCTTGACCAGAAAAGCCCACTGAAGATGCAGTTTGACCTTGAATTGGGAAACTGGTTTGTGGAGACTGTTGGCCAGGTTGAGCTGCAAAAACTGTCTGTGCTCCTGCCTGGCCAGGAGGTGGCATGTAACCTGTCTGTTGTGTAGTTGGTCCACCATACGACTCAAAACCTGTCTGTGTTGCAGGTTGGACACTTGGAATTGCATGATCACCAGGAGGTGAAGGACCAGATGGTGGGAGAATATCAGCCAGTATATCGATCTCCTGGTTCGAGGTGGACAGCTCCTGCTGAGCATATTGCATATTAGTAGAAGCAAACTGACTATATGTTGCATTTGAGACCTCAGCACCCTGAGGGGCTGATTGAGGAAGCTCAGGGATTTGAGTTGGATTAGGATGGAAAGATGGAGTAGTGTTCTGCAGATGAGTTTGCATGTTATTCGAGGTCATAGCCCTGAAAGGACCATCACCAAAAGGATCCTCGAACATCTGCAAGAAAAGCACATATTTCATTCAGTAAGTAAATTGTGGAAGGGAAGAATCGTATATGTTGGAACACAAAACAGATGGTTAAGACATCAAATGTATTGGTTTATCCACCTGGTTAGAACCAGTAGATACTGATGATGCTTCCCCAAACATGGTCTCAGTACCAGTGGTCCCAGATGGATTAACCTCAGAGGCACTCGAAGCTGCCGGTACAAGGGCTAATGCGTTGGAGAACGGATCACATAAGGAACCAAGTAAATCCATTTCGCCACCAGAAGTAGTTGACACAGGACCATTTGCTGGAACTGGGGGAGCTGCTCATACAGGAGAAAAGTTACTTGCATTTGAATGGTAAACAAATCATCTTGTTTGAAGTACTAATGAAATTAGCTTGAATACACAACAGAGCAATTTGCTTGTGCTCTATAAAGGAAATCTGAGGATCTTTCATCAAATTGCTGGTAACACCTTACAATCTTGTGCTCATTACTGATGAAATTAGTTTATATACATACACAATAGAGGACATTGATCCTTAAAGTCACTCAGAGTTCCAATGCAAACTTCAGTTTGGTATTACAGCAATAAATTATGCATTAAGGCTCTTTGCAGAGGGTATCCTCAAATAAGATTCTTTTTCTGCTGACAGAACTCAAGTTAAAGACTGCCAGGGCTTTATTAAGATGAGAAGATAAAAGGTGCATGTAAATGAAGTGGGCATACGTTGATTTTGGTTTCTAAGGAACAGAAATTGAGTGAAAAGGTGGGTCTTAAAAAGATATATACTGTCATAATTCTCCTTATGCAAAAAAAGGGACTATCTTAATAGAATACACAAGTTATACCTGTACCAACACAGCCTATGTCTAAAAACATCCTGTGTATTTTAATTTTCCTTTCTATAACAAACATGCAATTTCCAACTTCAGCCACCTCTACCAAAAATATTTTAACACATTTGAATTTTCTAATACTTTGAACAAAATCACAACTTTTAGAGTTTGGTTGGTCCCAATTGTTTATTCAATCAAGCAACATTTCCTGCAGCATGATTTGACCGGCAGATAAAGTGCAAGTTACTTTCTCAAAATACCACATCCAAGGAAATCTAGTTACTGAAGACAAAATGGAAAACCAGTATCACCTCAAACATCAAGCACTAATTTGGCAGTTGCTCCTTAGTGAGGGTTGTTTTACCTGCTGTAAAAGATGCACGGGGATCAAATTCATCAAAACTCTCAGCAACCGTGTTTTCTGGTGGTGGGGCAGGGGCTGCTGCTGGAGATGGTGGTGAAGCAGTAGCTGTGGCTGGAGCTGGTGGTGGAGCAGTAGTTGGTGCAGGAGCAGGCATAGTGGCTGGGCTCGGACTGGCACTGGCATGAGGAGAAGAAGATTTGGGCGCAGATGCTGAAGAAGTTTCTACATCCCTTTTGAGATATGATTATAACATCAATATAAAAATTTCAAGGAAATAAATGGGGAAAAAAGGATCCTTTTTCACAACTATTACCTTTCACTATGTGTTGGGCTGCGTGAACCACCAACAGCTTCCTCATAACTAGGAGGTGCACTAAGGTTCTGCTCAGAAAACCTCCTTTCAAGCGGCCTACTCACAACAGTTGAATCAAAAATGTAAACCTTGGCAAACAAATAAGACCATTTTCTATAAAACAATACTTAATGACGAA